AAAAAAAAAAGAAAGGGCTGCAGCCTTAGGAAGGTTGAGAACCACGGATGTAGCACATGCGACAAGCTACTTGACTGGGCTGAAGGAGTCATCCATCCACGTATCTTTCCCACTGAGCCATATTACTTTGATTGCCTTATTCTCTGCACCTTAGTGACTATAGCCACTACTGGGGCCTCTCTTCAGCTCTGTCCATAGGACAGAGCAACATAGGACGCAGGAGGGTATAGCTCGGTACCACTGCCCCTACCTTCCCTGTCCACGCAGGCCTCCCGGGATGGACGTCACACGCCTGCTCCTGGCCACTCTGCTGGTCTGCCTGTGCTTCCTCGCCACCCACGGCCACCTGGCGCTGGAGGAGAAGCCCAGAGACGACAGAACCCTGAGGAACAACGCCTCCGTGAGCCTGTTGGATTGCCCTTCTGTCTCCATTGTGGGTAAGCAGCCTGGCCTGGGGCCTGGCTTCTGGGCTCTGGCCTGCGGGAGGAGGCCTCAGGATCTACTGCTGTGGGGTCAGGACTCCCTCCTGCTCATTCCATGAAGTAATCCCAGGGGCGAATAAAATGCTCCTTGGCTCAGGGGGTTTGGGAAAATCCGGTCCGTCACTGCCACCCATCAGACCTGCAGATGAGCAGATTAGAAATTCTGAGGAAGCGGCCATCCCGGCGCTCGGTGAACTTGGTCTAACGTAGCATCTCTGAAACTTCTTGAATCACAGAGGTCCTGTCAAAAGTCATACACTTTAGGAAATGCTGCAGACTGCAAGGAGGTTTCAAAGAGGTCCTGTGGTGGGGGGGATGGGATGAAAAGACAAAGCAAGCATGGGATGACCCAGTCTCTGTCATGCCAGGGCAGAGAATGGGTGCTCAGAGGAAAGCATTGAGGAGCGAGTCAGGCTGGTGTTCAAGGTCTTCTGGCTTGACTTCCCTTGATAATTGAACAAGAGCAAATGCACTACGTGCTGGCACTGTGCTCCGCACTTTAGGCAAATCACCTCACTTAGTCTTCAGGTAACCCTGTGAGGTGAGCATGATTTTGCTTCGTGTTTCACAATCGAGGGAATTAAAGCTGGGAAAGTTAAAGTAACTCAGATGAGACCCCCCTCGGTTCTTTTGTGTCTGAGCTGGAATTCAAACCCAGGTGTTGGACTCCTGAACTTCGGCTCAAAGGAGCATCCCTCCGTGCCTTGCCTCTCACTGGGAAAAGAGGTGATTCTAGGCAAAGCAGGGACGTGAGGGGAAGGGGGGCCAAAGGGATGCATCCACCTCCATTGATCACTATAGAGATGGCAGACTTTGTCTGTATACAAAGACTTCCTGTATCATCAGGACAACACCTTGCCGGGTCAGTCTAACAGTTCTCCTATGGCACAATCACGATTCACATTAGAGCTGCCTGGTGGCTAAAGGAGGAGCATGCGCAGGGACCAAGCCACAGAGATCCGAGGTGCTTCCTGTTTGCCTTTCCTCAGAAGCCGCTTGGCTGGCAGTCCTGGGCTCCAGGTCAATAGAACTGGCCTGCCAGTGTCTCAATGTGATTCAGCCAGCCAACCCCTCTCCTCCACCCCTCCTCTGACTTCCCACATCTCCTCCTCTCCTCCAGCTCAGGGCCGCCAGCAACATCTGGCTTTGTTTCTTCTGTTTCTCTTTGAAGCGCTGAACAAGAAATCCAAACGGGTCAGCAGGAAAGAAGCTGAAAAGATGAAGAGCTTGTCTAAGGTAGTCCTGGGGGGTTCCTTGTGGTAGCAGCATAGTGTTTTTAAGGAGAAAGAAAATCCTGGCAACAGCGGTTAAGAACTCAGGTGCTAACGGAAAGGTCAGAAGTTCAAACCCACCAACAGTCACGCCTCAGGAGAATTTCCAAAAAGATTACATACAGCCTTGGAAACAACGGTACAGGGCAGTTCTTCTCTGAGTATGCTGCCACTGTGAGTCAGAATTGCTTCCACAGCAGTCGGGTAAAAAGGAGTAGACCCTCAAAGCTCCAGCTCATAACTAAATGGAAAACATTAACAAAAGATGCTGAAAGGAACCTGAAGGCTTCCTGGTGTAAGAGTTCGAGGTCAGACCCCACTTAGAAGCCCTGGAAGCTGAGGTTTACTGAACAAAATATCCGCAGGGAGTTTAAGGGAATTTGGGGTTGGTTAAGAGGTAGCATTGTCCAGCAAGTTATTTACTTAGGCATTGATAACCTCCAAACTCATTCCCATCGAGTGGACTTCCGCCTCACAGCCATCCGATAGGATAGAGTAGGCCTGCCCTGTGGGTTTCCAAGACTGTAACGCTTTACAGAAGTAGAAACCTTCGTCTTTCTCCTGCTAGGTAGCTGGTGGTTTCAAACTGCTGACCTTGCAGTTAGCAGCCCAACGTGACAAGAGGTCTTCGAGAGACTAGGGGCTTAGGGAGCCACCAGAAGGGGCAGAGAGCATGAAAATCCCTGGGCCAGTGAAGGGAGGGGAAGATGCATGTCCGTAGATGATGCCTTTCTGCAGCAAGGGGTGGATTAGAGAGCTTCCAAGGATAGCAGCATCCTTGGCTCCATGTAACTGTCGTAAGGATCCCTTGTGGCATAGTGGGTTACATGCTGGTCTGCTAACCGTGCAAGGTCAGCAGTTTGAAACCACTAGCCACTCTGCAGGAGAAAGATGAAGCTTTCTACCCTCATGAACGATGATAGTGAGTTTGTTTGATTTCTTTTATTAGGGCTAGCAGATATTAAGTGTAGCTTTTGGAAATCAGACCGTCTTAGTAGACAGGCTTTAAGTGGCTAAAAGTCTGCATGTTGGGGTTATTTTTTAAAACAGTTGATTGTGTACACATTTGAGTTTGGCATGGGTGAGCACTTTTGGGCTAATAGGCCTCCATATGCTGAGAAGAAAGCAAGCAATTTGGGCTAACAGAGGCCTTAAAAAAATCCTTTAGAGAACATAATGGCTTCCATGCTAAAAAGTGTCCTCATGCACTAGCCAGGCCCCTGCCTGAAAGTTCATCTTTATCCATTCATGTCATGTTTCCCAATCAGTCACATCACAGCTACAGTCACGATTTTTGCCATATCTGAGTTTCATCTATTTAATATGTATACCTAAAAGTAATCCTGAGAGGAATTACTGAGAGGTGAATGATGGGTAGACATGATAGTGGGGCAGGAGGAAAGAAAAAATGAAAAGGAAAGAATAATAAAGTAAAATTTATATATAGGTATAAATATGAATATGTAAATATATAAAGATAGGTGTATTTGTGTGTATATGTATGTAAATACAATAAGGAAGCAGACATACTTTGGGTCTCTATTTAAATCTTACCTCAATACAAGAACAGTTCATTCTAATAATGTGGCAATGTATGATACTCACCTTCCTGACACGATCGCTGAAGACAAAATGGATGCATAAGCAAAATGTGGTGAACAAAGCTGATGGTGTCCGGCTATTAAAAGATATAGCATCTGGGCCTTAAAGGCTTGAAGTTAAACAAGCAGCCATCTAGTAGGGAAGCAACAAAGCCCACATGGAAGAAGCACACCAGCCTGTGTGATCATGAGGTGTCAACGGGAATAGGTATCAGAAATTTAAAAACAAGCAATCAAATTGACATAAAGGAGCATAGACAAAATAGAGACCCAAAACCCACCGGTAAGACAATTGGACAGTCCCTCACAGAAGGGCCACACAGAAGGGATGATGTATCCAGGGTGCAGTATAGCACTGCTGAAACACATAACTGCCCTCTAGTTATTTAATATTTCCTTCCCCTACTATTATTGTCTTAGTTTTACCTCATTAATCTTGTGAGACCTGTGTATGTTCATTTGTATAATTAAGATCATTTGATGCATGAAATCCAAAATAGACAAACCCTTCAGAAATAGTAATGGGAGTAATGATACCCTGAGGGTACAGGAAGGGGTGGGGGAAGGGGGAAAGGGGAAACCGATAGCAAGGATGTCTGTATAACCGCACTCAAGGGGAACAAACAACAGGATTGCAGGTGAATGGATACATTGGATGATGTAAGATACAGCAAAATAATCATGATAATATATAATAAGGACTCCTGGGGGGAAGGGTGTGGGAGGAAGGGGATAAAGGAGAGCTGATATCAAAGAATTCAAGAAGAAAGATAAATGTTTTGAAAATTATGGAGGCAACAATTGTACAATTATGCTTAATCTAATTGAAGGATGGATTGTTATAATATCCATAAGAGCACCAAATAAAATGATTTTCTAAAGTAAGCCTGTAAGTATGCCAGAACTAAAAGATAATCATAAAAATAAGTAAAATTAAAATGAAATATTGTGTCTAGCCAAATGGTCAGGAGCTCTGGTGGAGTAGTGGTCATGCATTGGGCTGCTAACTGCAAGGTTTGCAGTTTGAAATCACCAGCCTCTCTCCAGGCAAAAGAGGAGGCTTTGTGCTCCTGTAAAAAGTTACCATCTCTGGGAGATAACATGGCGGTTTCCCTGTGAGGACCTGTCAAGCAGGGATGAAAATAGGTGTGCCTGGAAGCAGATGTTTCCAACAGTTTCTCTGCATCACATCTTTTACCATATCGTCTGATACACGCATCTTGGTCCACCATGGCAGTGGCAGCAGTGACACGGGCACTGTCAAACAGAACTGTCCTGAAACATTTATCAATTCGAAATGGAGTTTTATACAGCGTTTGTCATCAATCTACACCGCCTCTCCCTGATGACTGACATTGCAAGGTAGCGCTTGCTTTGACATCAGATGGCAGGACAATAGTATGCTACCACCCTTCTGTGGACATTCCATATGAACATACAAAACCCGTTCCTCGGCCAGACCCTCTACATAACAGTGAAGAAACACATGATCAGGTGCTGAAAACTAGATTAGAAGTGAAGGATGAGTGTCTTAAACAACAAGGACCTATGATAGAACAACTTAGCAAAATGTTCTTTACTACGAAGCACCATTGGTATCCTCATGGGCAGTATCACAGACGTCGTAAGAAATTGAATCCTCCAAAAGACAGGTGATTTTGAGGTTCTCATTAGGAAGCAGAGAGAAATGTTACATTTTGGCTCATTTGCCACTTGAGAAAAATATCCGATGTCGTTCCTACGATGTTACAAATAAACTAATTAAAAATTTTTTTATTAAAAAAAAAGTTACCATCTCAGACATAGATAGGGTCACTGTGAGTCCAAATTGGCTCGACAGTAATGAGTTGCATTGAGCTGGATGATATGGCCTGCCAAAAGTTCTAAGTCTGAAGCCCGCTCTGTGTGGGTTGAAAGGCAGATTGGCAAGTGTGGGAGACATGCCAATGACTTGATGATACGGCGCAGGGCCTTTTGAATGGAAAGAGACTGAAAAATGAAACTTTATTCACTATGCGATTCAAGTTTATTTAGTATGCACATACGCCCTAAAATCATAACAGCACCCTTTGGGATAAAGGCCTGGTTTAAATAGACACATTATTTCTATTTCATCTGCCTCAGTTTCCTAGATGAACTGTAATCAGAACCGGGAGCCCTGGAAAAGGGACCTGAGCCTTTGAGGAAGCTTGAAGTCTCTGCTCCTAAATGGGGCTGCTTCTCAGCCTAGCAAGTGAACAAGTAGATCCGATGATGGACAAATATACATTCCACATGAGGCACTGGGAACACAGCCGTGGGCAAGGGAGAGCTGTCCCAGTTCTCGTGAAGTTTCTGAGGAAACAGGTCAACAATTAAATCTACAAATACAGATGATAAATTGAGATAATGATAAACACTTTGCAGGAACCAAAGTGTGGTACTGAGACAGACCCCTGCTGGTACAGTGGCTAAATGCTCCATAGCTCAGTGATTTGAGAAAGATGTGGCTGTGTGCTTCTGGAGTTCTTACAGCCCAGAAGAATTGTTTTACAAGGCCACTGTGCGTTGAATCAGCTCATGGCAGTGGGCTTGTTTCTTAATGAGACAGAGTCCTGGAGGTACAGTGGTTATAGCTTTGTAAAAGACAGAACAATACAAAATACTCCAGAGTAGCAATGTACAATAGAAATACAATGTGAGCCACATACATACTTTCAAGTTTCTATTAGCCGCACTAAACAAGATAAAGAAAAAAAAGTGCAATTGACTTTAAAAATTTTATGTAGTTTGTTACCTAAAATGTTACCACTTCCACATGTAATCACTATTAAAATTCTACTAATGAAACATTTTACATTCTTCATAGGAAACCCTCAGAATAGGATACGTGTTTTATATGATCAAACCCAACACAATCACTGCCCACCAAGTCAGTGCCAGCTCATAGTGACCCTCTAGGACAGAGCAGAACTGCCCCTATGGGTTTCTGAGGCTGGGAATCTTTACAGGAACAGAAAACCCCATCTTTGAACCACCGACCATGTGGTTTACAGCCCAACGCTTAACCCACTACGCCACCAGAGATCCCTAATATACTTCCTCAAAAACTCACGGCCAGTCCATTCCAACGCATAGCGACCCCATAGGGCAGGGTAGAACCGTCCGGTGGGTTTCTGCGACTGTCACTCTTTATAGGGCTAGAAAACCTTTCTCCCTCCACGGCTGGTGGGTTCCAACTGCGGATTTTGTAGCGTGTGGCCCAACGCAGGACCGCTATGGCGCCACGCCTCCTTTGATAAGCTCGCAGCACATCTTAATTCTGACCATGGCACTTTGCAGCCGTAGTCCTGCCAAAATAATAATAATGTTGTGTTTGTGGGGGGGGGGGCTAACATTGCTTCCATATTGAAATGAAATGAAATTTGAAAATGCGGTATTCCTCGCGTGGCCAGTGGACACATCGAATCTGGCTGCAAATCTACATTGCGTGCAGGTGGGTGTCCAGAGGCTACCTGTAGTGGGCAGCAGAGGCAAGGAGAAGGAGTAACCCGCGGAGCTGCGGCACTAATGCCTTTGCCATGTTCCTTGCACACAGGGCCAGAGGAAGTGATCGGGGTTGGGGGGGGGAGGGTTGGAGGGGGTGTCACCCCACAGGGGACCTGACAGCACAGAAAACCCCCTGAGGGTCTTTAAACAAGGGTAGGATGCCATCCATGTCTTCTTAGGAGACGTCCCTTTAGTGCGTTGGAGGATGGGCTGTCGGGGTACCCACCAGCACCTTGTGGCAAATGAGAAAAGCCGGAGGCCTAGCTCAGGGGGGTAGCAGAGGAGCTGAAAAGACCGGTAGAGTCCAGAGGTAGTGTGAAGGCAGAGCCGACAAGCATTCTTTGTTTGTTTTTGTTTTGTTTATTTTAATAATTTTATCAGGGGCTCGTACAACTCTTATCACAATCCATCCATCCATTCATCGTGTCAAGCACATTTGTACATTTGTTGCCATCATTCTCAAAACATTTGCTTTCTACTTGAGCCCTTGGTATCAGCTCATTTTTCCCCTCCCTCCCCACCTCCCCACGAACCCTTACTAACGTATAAATTATTATTTTGTCATATCTTGCACTGTCCAACGTCTCCCTTCACCCACTTTTCTGTTGTCTGTCTTCACCCACTTTTCTGTTGTCTGTCCCCAGGGAGGGGGTTATATGTAGATCCTTGTCATCAGTTCCCCCTTTCTCCCCGACCTTCCCTCCACCCTCCCAGAGCCGACAGGCATTTGGGACAGACAGGAAGGAGAAGGCACAGACTCATGAAAAGCTATGGGACTCAACAAGGAATTGCCAGGGGAGAAAAGAGGGCCAAGCGGGGGGCCATTTAAGTTCTGGTCGGCATGCAAGCAGGGTGGGACAGGATAAGGAAGCGGGCCGGGGCGGCTGGATGCCCGACAGGCCTGGACCTAGCGGGGCGGTGGACCGGGCATGCAAACAACGTTGGGGGCAAGTGGGACAGGCGTGGCCTGCTCCAGCAGCCCTGGCGTCTCCCCCGCAGAAAAAGGCATCGGTGAAGACCGCTGGCCCGCCGCCGCCCGGGGGCTGCGTGGCCACCCGCGACAGCTGCAAGCCGCTGGCGCCCGCCTGCTGCGACCCGTGCGCCGCCTGCCTGTGCCGCTTCTTCCGCAGCGTGTGCACCTGCCGCGTCTTCAACCGCTACTGCTGAGCGCCGCGGGGCGCTTCCGGCCGGGGGGCCCCGGGAGGTGTGGCTGCCCAGGACCCAGCCCCTGGGGGTCCCGCCGCGTTGGGGCGGAGCTCCCAGGAGGCGGGACTTCCAGCAGGCGGGCTTCCGTGGCCATCTGGAAATAGATGTGGGCTGCTCCCATTTCGGCGGCTGTTTCTAACAAGGATGCAAAAGATGCTTTCTTCTTACCCTTCGCCGATACCCCTTCCTCGCGGGAGGGCCCCTCGTTCGGAGCACCCATGACCTGCCCGGAGCAGGGGAAAGCCGGCCATCCAGCTGCCCTTCCGGTCATCTTGGGGATGCGGAGTCCTGCAGGCCTAGGGGAGGGGGGACGGGCGCTGCTGCCTCCTACCTTTAAACCTGAGAACACCTGGGAACGTCTCCCCAGTCAGGAATGCCCTCACCTCTGAGCTCTCCTACCTCCGAATCCGAAAAAGAGAAAAGAAATGCCCCCACTCGCTCCATCCAGTCTCCCTGGGCTGGCCCAGAAGCATCTGTACTCCGAGAATAAAGACTAGGGTGACCATGTTAAGAGGAGGAACTGTTCCGTGGGACTGAAGTGCTGGACTCACCCAAAGGTGCCACTTGTACCCACACGGAAGTGCTAGAACCCGAGAAGAGTCCCTCCCCGCCCCGCCTTCCCAGGCTAAATGAATACAGACCATTGGTGTCCGGGTAATTTAACTGGCCACCCAGAGTTTGGGGCTCTTAAGTAAAAAGCAGGGACTTCGGGATCCTTTCTCACCTTCCGCCCCAGCTCTGAGCTTAGGTAGGAGCAGGGAGCAAGCTTTGTTCTGTACTGTCAGGGATCGGTCGCCTAGAATGTCCCCAACTGTTGCTTGGCACCCTATCCTCAGAGATGCTGAGTTTATGAGGAGCTGACATGCAGTGCTGTCGCATTTCCCTGAGAGAGGGAGCACTTGGCATGCTGCTTTGGGGGTAAGAGGAAGAGTTGGGAGCAAGTCTGAGAGGAAGGACCAGCCAGTGAGGGAGGCTGGGGGAAAACACCAAGTAGCTGAAGGGGAGGGACTCCAGACTACATTATCTACTTGATCTGCTCCCCTGGGGCCCATCCTTGCCAGTAAGAGGAGCCGAGACCACCTGTCCTGGCCGCCTCTCTCCTGAAAGCCAGCGCTCTTCCTAAAGGAATCGTTGTGTCTAATTAATCAAGGGCAAAGAAATTGCCAACCATGGGAAATGAAACAGGCCTGTGGGATAGGAAAGTGTGGAGCAGCCCCGAAACCCTTCATGTACGGTTGGGGAGGTTGGCGGGGTTGGGGGGACAATGTTGCTCAAGAGAGATTTTCAAACCTAGAAAACAACAAATTCTGGTACTGGTGTGGAGAGACCAGAACTCTTCTCGCTGCTGGTGGGTTATAAAATGGGAAAACCACTGTGGAAAACAGGATGGCACTTCCTTAAAGAATAAGAGACAGAGACACCGTATGGTCGAGCAATCCCATCGCTAGATTTCTAGCCTGGAGAAATGTGAGCCATGACATGAATAGGTACTACGTCCACACATGGTCATCACAGCTGAACATTGCAGCTGCTATGGCACACTAGCCAAAGTGGAAACAGCCTGCGTGCCTGCCAACAGATGAAGGGGTAAGTGAAATCCTACACAGCATTAAAGAATCACCATGAATCCATGAAGCATCTCCACATGGGTGAACCTGGAGAACAGTATGCTCGGTGAAAGAAGTCAATTGAAAAAGGTTAAATAGTGTCTAAAACCACTATTATAAAAATCAAGAGAAGGTGACCCATCCTTCTTTGATAGTAGGGACGGGAGTGGGAGGGAGGGAAAAATCACTAATAGTAGATAGGTATTCATGTGTATGAAGGGGAAAGGAATCAACGATAAGAGGGATGTCAGCACACCATGGCCAAGGCAGAGGAAGGCACTGGGAGGTAGGCAGGAGTAAAAGGCAACAATGGCAAATACTATTGTATACACAATCCTGCCATAACAGTATTAACTATTCACAAGGGAACACTTAGATAAGAAAGCTGGACAGGTGTGTGATGACATAGACATACACCCATAGCATTTATAGGTTTGGGAGACGTTATTTCTACATATTTCCTGGTATGGGCTGCAACTGTATCCATTCATATTGTAAAGGATATAAGGGACAAAGTTATGCAAACTTAGTACCTATAACCAACCACTTTAATAGACTAGGTGTTTGAGGGCTTAGGACCATAGTCTTGGGGGACACCTAGGTCAATTGGCATAACATAGTTCCCACAATGTTCTATATACTACTTTGGTCAGTAGCAAATGGGGCCTTAAAAACTTGTGACTGAAAAAACCCACAAAACTTGTAACCTAAGATCTAAGGTGCAACTACTGCTGTTTCACCATCCGGAGGAAAGGCGAGTGAAGAAAAAGAAACAATTATGTAGTCCGAAGGACTCATAAACTAAACGAACGCCAAGTAGCCTGGAGTCAGAAAAACCAGATGGTGCCTGACTTCCACGACTGACCACTCTGCTAAAGATCACGATAGAAGGTTCTGGATAAAGGGAGAAAAAAATGTAGAACAAAATTCTATATTATAAAAAAGATGACTACTGGTCTAGTAGAGTCTGTTGGAAAACCCCAAGACTATGCCCCTTAGCCACCCTTCAAACCTGGAACTGAACCCGCTCCTGGAGTTAGCCTTTCAGCCAAGCCATAAGCAGTCTGATAAAGTGAAGAATAAATTTCACGAGAAACATACTCCTCCACACAATCAAGCAATGAGGCTAACAGGGCAGCATTTGGCCCAAACCAAAACTCAGAAAGAAGGAAGGGGCAGGAAAAGGGAGCCCGTGGGAGCCAGGAACCCAGGGAGGAAGTGGGAAGAAGGCTGTGGCATTGAGAACATTACAATTAATGTCACAAAACATATTGTGTACAAACTGTTAAATGGGGAAGTAATTTACTTTGTGGCCACCCAAACCACATTATTTAAAACAAACATTAGATGGAGCCATTCCCCTGGCCCACTTGCCACTTACAACCTTCCCTCTTTCAAATTCCTTAAAGCCCCTTCCTTGCCAACCAGACCTTTTCCCGGCTAGGGCTCCAAGTTGTGCCTGCCGTTTCACAGCCAGCAGGGAATCAGGAGGCCAATGTCAGCCTCCAGACAGAAGAAGAGTGGGAACCACCTGGACAGACACCAGAAGAGAAGCCGGGTACTTCAGGCTAGACCGTCGATACAATTCTGCACCCTGGGCAAGCCCTTGCGTCTTGCCAGGCTTGCATTTATTTGTCTGTAAAATGGAAAGGCAATCATGCCGGCTGTTTGTGTAATAAACATAAGACATTGCTGCTTCTCTGAGCTTTGGCCCAATAAAACACATACACAGGGAGACACTGCCTGTTGCTTGGCCTGTTTTCTGTCATTTAGGCTGCAAGTCCACAGGGCAAGAACCTTTTGTTCCTTTGTACAATCGTTGCCAGTGAGTGAGTGTCTTCAGTAATGAGCATATTGGGAACACATGGTCACGCTGCGCCTGGCTTTTCCAGACGCTGCTCAGCAACCAGGCACCATGGGGGCCCCAGGGTAAGGCCAGAGATGCAAAACCACTAGACTGCTGGGTCCTGACAATTAGAGATAACCAACTCAATAAGTCATTCAGCAAATGTTTACTGAGTGCCCACTATGTGCATGAAATTGTGCCCGATGACGTGAATCCTGTGTCCAGCATGGCTCCTCTCCTTACAGAGTGCATGGTCCAATAGGCCATGACCACTGGCCCTTTTTGCTTCTGGTAACTCCAGTCCCTGGTTAAATATTGACCTGCCCAAGTTCCCCTTCAGATGATTTCTGAAATTCCTCCTTAACCCCCAGGGTCCTGGTAGCATGATCCTGGGTCTCTACAAAATTCTTCCTAGGCAATCAGAAGTGACTTGCTGTGGCTCAACGTTGTGGTTCTACCATTATGAGAATCTGGAACCCTCCACCCATATCTCTACCACCATCATTCTCTCTCTCTTTTTGTCAAACACAGAGAGAGAGAGAGAGAGAGAGCAAAGTAAACGTTGTCTTAGAAAGACTTGGTCCACATTAAACGTCCCCATATATGAAATAAGAAATAAGCGAGCAAATCTCCCTACCTCTGTTATTAGGGCAAAAAAAGACCCAGATTCAAATATATTTGATCGAGACCCCTTTACTAAGTCTTCAGACAAAGACGAATCACTGGGTGAGGGAGGCCACCAGCATGGGGACATAATGAAGTCCAAAGGACTCACAGTCAGGTGGCGCCTTACATCAGACATGTAACAAAGGGAAGTGTCCCAAAAATCATGATTGGCAGCAGATGAATTAATTACAGCCACAGGTGGGAGTCCAGAAGCCAGAAAGGAACTGCGATTAGGAACATGCAGGACTGCAATCAGGAACATTTACAGGGTTGGTTCTAGGCTCGCTAATCATCGTGAAGTGGGGAAGGTGGGTCATGAGTCATAACAATGTGACCTTAGTACCCCAATTTCCATCAAGGGCACACCTAGGAAAGTTCTTGTGACTGAGATCACCTCTTCCTGAGCTGACCAGAGAAATTGCAGCAAATATATTGCAGCTGAGGACAAAGCATTTTACATTGCCAGTCAGCTGTCAGAAAGATCTCCGGGGACCCTGAAGCTATGTGTAAGCTCAAAATGGATACAAGGATCCTACTGTAAATGCAGCTTTTCACAAACCTAGTGCTCAGAACTTAGGCTCTAATACACCTCCCGTTGTGCCTATTGATGAAGGATCGTGTGTCCAAACTTCTCAGTGTGGGTCTTGAACAAACCACTGCCCTCCTGATGCCACCATTTCCCCATTTGTACAATGAAGAGTAAACCGATCAGAGCTCTTTGGCTGAAAGCAACAGAAACAACACAAAACCAAATCCAACCCAAACCCGTGGTTTTTGAGCTGATTGGGATTCACAGCTAGCCTAGAAGAGAGAGGAGAACTGCCCCAGGTTTCCAAGACAAA